GCTACTAGTAGAATACGGGAAATCAAAGTTACGATATCGCTCTCTTACTTGCATTCTGCGCCCACCTCACGTTGCTATGGGCTATAGGGTACATGGAAGTGTTTGAGTGGGTAGTCGTGCTGAAGGATTGACCTTACTAGAGGGGTCCGGCATGCAAATTTTTGTTTAAATGTAGACCCACAGAAACGCTATTTCCTGCATTTTGAGGTGCAAGGCGGGCATACCTCTTCAACTGTGACACAACACAAACGTTTCAGCTTGATTTAGGGGAAGGACCCCCCCCCCAACATTTTTTTGTACCCACGAGATCTTTTTTCTGCTTGCTTCTTTAAATGGATGAAACACATTATCAGCTGCCATGTGATATGGGTTAACATTGTATGTTCGGTTTACCTCTTCCGAGGGATTCACAATATTTTTCGTTTCTAAAATTCTTTTAGAAATCAGTTTGACCTTAATTTGCTTATAAAAAATAAAATTCAAAAGGTCCAAATCTACTAACAAAGCGTCTGTCATTTAGCGAAATATTAATTTATGTATTATTACATACTCTGTCTTCATAAACGAAACATAAAACATAAAGCAACTAAAATTCCATTGTGAGTGATCACACCAGCATACGTCGTATTTGTCTACGCATGCGAGATGCATTGACTAATGCATTGTTTTCACATAAGTCTCAGACAACCAGCCCGGAGCATTGGTTACAAAACATTTCACGCTGGGTCCCACCAGTCGTGACTTCAATCACCAGATTATTAATCAACTAATATGTACAGACTATGGATGGGTGAATGTCCAAAACAGGGAACTGAACATTTTAGTATTCAGTGACGAAATAAAATAGGAAATAATTGGTAAATCCACAAAGAGGTATTACAGAACACGTCAAATTCTTAAAATAAGGGGTTCAAAAACAAACAAAAAACTAAAATTCTGTCGTCAGTTGTAGTTGCTTCCCATAATTCCGCGATACGATCTCGAAATATTGGTGACAGATTATAGCATAGCATTTTCTGCTGTCTTCATATGGAGTACTTCAGCTAATCGATCGCTTTGATGCGCAAACACGATCTCATTCTGAATACAGTTGTACACAGGCAGATAATTACAGGTTTACCCACTGACTGTTGTGATTCATTAAAACTATAGTGTATCCTCATATTTTGTTATATCTGTCATCTGACAGGAAAACGCATTTTTGGTCTTATAATTTAGATTTTAAATTTGTTTTTTCAACAAAAATCGATTAAAATTTTTTACCCGATTAACCCCAGTTTATGTAAAAGCTATCAAATGTTTATTTTTGTACATAAGACCGATGGTGTACATCTATTCTCCACCCCTGGAAGCCATCTGTGGCAGTACAATTACTATGTTTTGCTGGATAGCCCAGCATCGTAATGAGGGATTATCAAGTTAATTCTGAGTTCCGGTGACGAATTAATCCAGTTCTATACCACCTGTCTTCTCGGGATATATGCATGAAACTCATCAATAGAGTTTGTTTGTTTGATGGCTTGCTTGATTTGTTTGTTTGTTTGGTTTAGTAGTCGTTTGTTTTATTGGTTGGTTTGTTTGTTAGCACTACTCCAATGCCATAAATGCATATGTCAAATATTTAGTGTTATCTAAAACTCTGACACAAACTCATTAAAATAATTGTAGCATAACACACACCAGCAAAAGGAAGAGATTATGACAAATTCCTCCCGCTTGAATAATCCTCCACAAAATCAGTCAAAACTTAGACTACTATTCATATTAATTACCTTTATGTATTTAAATTATTGTCAATTAGGTCAGAAGAAATTAAATTTTCTGGATTTCGTCGTATAGTCTTCTTTTTATAACTGTTTGGTTATCAGACACATCGTGTTATATGTATTTAACAACATACATTTATCTAATTATAGCAAGCAGTCTTAAAGATTTCGTCTTTTTCATTTCGTTTTGAAAATACTTACCTATCCAATTGGTCAAATGCGGCAATCAGTAAGCGTGTGTTGTTATATTTGTGCGATTAGAAGACGTATATTGTTCTGCAGCATTTTTTTAGGCTCTAGACGAAAAATTTAAACTTTTTGCCACGGAAAGTGGGACGTCCGTCGAAAGTCATTTTTAGTTTACCTCATTATTTTATATGGAACTGCTATATGTAAAACATAGCAATGGCTTTTGACCGTGGTGAGCGAACTGCGTTCTCGGGCTCTGTACGAGCCTATCATACATGAAGTCAACAAATGTGACATAACCCGAGATCGAGTCGCGAACCACTGATTATAAGAAGTAACTAAATATGACGACGTTTTGTTTTGTCGTTTTTGAACCTCTAATTTCAAAAATTCTGACGTCTTCCGTAATACCCTTATGCAGAAAATGTATTGAAAGAAATTTATTTTATTTCGTCATTGAATACTGAAAGTTCCGTTCACTGTTTCAGACCTTCATCTATCTATACTATACATATTACTTGATAATACTCTGGTTAAAGAAGTCGCGAATCATAGAATCCAACGTGAATCGTTTGCAACCAATTTGAACGTAATAAATTTATCTACGCATGTCGCATGCGGAAAAAGTTTACAAGAGGTCACGTCTCGTCTGTTGCTTTGCTGGCGTGATCACTCACAGTGGAATTTTAATTGCTCATGTTTTAATATCTCGTTCATGAAGACAGAGTATGTAATAGTACATAAATTAAACTGCCGCAAAACGACAGATCTCCATTTTCTCTAAAAAAAAACAATATCACACTGCGATCACGCTTCTACAGGAGACATACTATTATACTTTCTGCATCATTCTCTGAATTATTAAGATGCTCACTTGTTGCGTTTTGCAGTATGTGATCAGAGCATGGAGGTAGATCAGAGTATCAAAACGAATTTCTGAAGCAATTTATGAGACAATAGAAATGTGTGAATCCCTCAACAGAAGTAAACCCAACACATAATGTTCACAAACAGTTGATAATGGGTTTCATCCATTTACAACCACACAGTCAGCATTGAAACTTCGGGTGCGAGACATGACAAAATAAACGCAGCCAGTTGTATATTTCGAGAATAAACAAAAACAAGATAAACCCCAGTTCATGTAAAAGCACAGTCCCTCTATAGAGACTGTGGTAAAAGCTATCAAATTCTTACCTTTTTTACATGGGGCAGGCGGTCTACATCTATTCTCGACCCCTGGAAGCCATCTGTGGCGTCATCTAGGACACAGTACAATTACCATGTTTTGCTGATCAGCATCCTAATGAAGGATTATTAATTCTGACTTCCGGTGACGAATTAATTCAGCTCTCCGCCTTTCTTCTACAGATATATGTTTGTTGGTTGTTTGGCTTGCTTGATTTGTTTAGTCGTAGTTTGTTTTAAAATCTTCAGTGTTGTATAAAACTGACACAATTGAACTATAGAGCGCGTGTTTTGTGTGTGTGTGTGGGGGGGGGGGGGCTCGTACCTTTTCCATACAGCACAACGCGTAATTATTTTATTTATTTGTTTTTTTTAATTATTTCATGGTTATATTGTTGGACTTTATATTAATTTTACTGGGAAAGATATTTTGAAAGATTTTTTTAGATTGTTTTACTGTTTTTGGATGCAAGCTGTGGAAACTATAGAAAATGTAGTGACAGGTAAGTGTATCTGACCTCAAAATATTATCTCAAATCCGTCGGATATTGGAAAAAAAAGTGCAAACAATACAGGTTTATCCTACACCGTTACAGCCATATAAACATATAGAGCAGTTGTTAATTTAACATATGGCTATATAATCGACCTGTCGCTAACAATAACGACATCTCGATTGTTACACATAAATTATATATGCATATATCTGGGTAACCGTCACATGATTGTAGTATAACATGGACAATATTGGTCGTGACAGGTGCAGCGATTATATTACATGAAACTGGCATTTTTAAACCAATCACGAACCGGGATCAATGTGAAGCTACATATAAGATTGTGTGTGATTGGCTAGTCCACATTAACACACAAGCCAGACCAATCAGAAAAATGCTTGATTGTTGACAGGATTTTTTGACTAATCATATTCTGTAAATATGCTTTGAGTCAACTGACCATGATTTATTGCAAAATTATACAATATTAAAGACAGTATAACTCTCAAACTGATATCTTCAAACTGATATCGTAGTTAATCATGTAAAATATTGTTTTCATAAAATAGATTATAGAAAAGTGTCCATGTACAAATTTCATGTTAACAAATCAATTAATTTGCAGATGTTGAGCATGTTTTATTCTTTTTAGGTCCAGATATTTAATAATTATATTTCTTATCTGACAAAAAATGTCTGTAATACAACCACTATCTAACATAATTAATTGAAACATCATACACTTTTCATAAAATATATTTATATATTCAAGTTTTTAATCATTGGTGTACCATTACGGAGTAATACATTTTTATCTTTGTAATATGATACTTATTTTTCAATGGTGCTACCATGAATGGTTTATTTCTACTTTGCTGTAAAGACAATCATAAATGACATGAAGGCGAGTACATAATATCATACATCGATACTGTGTTCCCATCTCAGTTATCTGTCTACATGTCATGAAAAATACACATAATTATTGTATTGGAGCAATATTATTTTATTTTAAAGAATAATTAAATGTTTTTAAATGTTTCAACAATATCAGGATTTAAATTAATAATGATTTTTTCATCCAATGGTGGTACCCCGTTATGTATAAATAATCACACCATAGAATTCAGTACAAAATCTGACCATTTTTCATGACATTCTGTCGCTTGTTTCTCAAAAAGGGGAACCCAATCTGCTATTTGTTTTGTTTTCATATTTGCCATCTAAATTGTCTTAAACCCATAATAATAAAACCATAAAAGCAGATGACATTTGATCTTCAATTCTGCTTAAACCTTTTTCAAATTAAAAAGAAGTTGGAATGTACATTATAATTTCCTCACTAATAACATTTCAAACATTATAGTCTGGATTTTTGCATCTGATCTCTCATTTCTTGGAGACCAAGCGACATCAGATGGACTTCATCTGGACCATCAGCAATCCTTAATGTCCGGATCAAAGCAAACATCTCTGATAGTGGGTAGTCCTGTGAAACACCAGCACCTCCATGTATTTGGATAGCACGATCTATAATCTTAAGTGTTGTACGTGGAACCATTATCTTAATCATTCCAACCTGTGCAAGAAAACATAATGCAACTTTGACATGTTATTCGTAAATTCTTCATATATTAATTAACTTAATTTTGAGTCAGTTAAATAACAATATTATGTGACCAAATGTTATAACATTGTGCTATCTATGTTGTATTTATATTTCTCAAGAATGATCCCACAAATATACATGAAACTTTGTTTAAGTACAATGAACTGTGGATCACATCGAGCTATTCTTCTTAGGAAAGTAAGTGTGGTGTACATGTAGTGTGGTACTTTCTATGATTGCAGGTTTTGACGTTAAGCAGGAGACTTAAGTATAGCAGTTTGTACCGGTAATTCATTTGTGTTTGTTTGCCTGTTATTATATATATATGGATTAAGTGTGATCCGAATCGCGAAGATACATCATGTAATTTGCTTTTATTTGAAGCTCAACTCATAACGAATGTCTTTAACTAAAAATGAATTCCCTAATCTTAAAAAAAAATGATAAATTGTTACCTGTTTTCTTGCAGCTTTTACTCCATACTTATCAATGGTATATGCGGCTTTAAGCACCATCAATCTCATAGCTTCAATTTCCAATCGACTTTCAGCTATTTGTTGCTGCACTACACCCTAAATAAACAGAACACAATAGTAAAACTCATAGTTGCTGTCGACATAGGAAGTAA